AAACTTGGCTGAAAAGAGAGGCCCACAATGTGCACAGACACAACAATTTGAGACACTACAGTACTGCGATATCAGGTGCTCTTCGGCTTTCAGCAGTCTCCCATCCATGTAGTGCAGGCTCAACCCTGCTTAGCTTCTGAAATCTGAAATTGTCTTTGTACTGTGTTTTTGTTCTATGTGCTGATGTTGGAGAGGGGTTTCTTCCTTTTTTCTCTGTACTGGTTGCAGATAGTTTGTGTCCCAGATTCCAGACAGTATAAATTTCCACACAGCAAATTCAAGAGTGTTAATTTTATTTTTTTTAAAGTAGATTTTTCAATGCAAGCAGTCGATGGATGAATCAAGATCTTGTTTTGAGTGGAATTCAGGCATGCTCATCTCCAAAAATGAGAGGAGCATGTCTGACTATTTGAAACAAGATCTTCTCTCCATTATATAAACTTAACAATGTTCATAATAGAGGCAGTCCTGCTAATTATGAAACATTAACATTGAAGAAACTTTTTACCTCAAGAGTCAGTCTTTCACTCTTGGGGTTTCTTTTGACATATCCAACGTCCATGTTGTAGACAGTTCTTTGAATACAGGTGTAAAGTTTGTGAGAGTCTGAGGACCAAGTGCCTTAAAGTGTTCACCAAATTCAGCCAGGTCAATGATGACATAAAAAACCTTTTTTTAAAAACTGGCTATGCAATATTTAATGAGCCATGAATAAAAATTAAATATATGGTGCATTTATTATTATTATTATTTCTTTATTCCTATTAAGCAGGTTATTCTGTTGCATGAGCTGTATGTTTTTGTATACAGGAACCATTCAAATAAATAACTTGAAGGGTAATTAAAAAAAAAAAATGTACCCGCTTAGAAAAAAGATATATAAAATGCAAGACCCACAAGAAACAAAACACCTAAATGCCATTAATCACAAAAATAGAATGAGATTAAGGCAAAAATTACAACTACTTAGCACATATATTAAATTCAATTAGTCAATTACGAAATTATTGGTGAGGTTACATTTCAGTTCTACATTTAACCATTTCATGACATACCTGCAAATCTCTGAAGAGATGGTTAATGGCTTGAGCCTTCATCTTTCCACTGTAGCCTTTAGGAGCCAGGGATGCATGGGAACCAGCAGCACTTTACTCACAACAACACCAACACCGTGAATTTAACACTTTTGAATTTGCTGTGCGGATTCCAGATAGTTAGTGGTAAAGAAGATAGCTATGTCAGATCCCAGATAGTTCGTAGAAGAAGTAGAAGTAAAAGATAATTATGTCATAGATAGTAATCTCAAGACCCCACTTTTTAGCTTAGGTTTCTATGTATGTATGTATGTATGTATGTATGTATGTATGTATGTATGTATGTATGTATGTATGTATGGGGGGTGGGGGTGGGGGGTCGAAGGGAGATCAAGGGTTCATACAAAAATGCGCTTTGTGCTGCATTTTTGTATGAAAAGTGCTCTATAAATAAAGTTTGACTGATTGATTGAAATCGGACTATAGATAATTTTATGGCCCAATTGTATGTTCAGACTTTCATTGTGGTAAAGTGAGGGTTCAGTAATGGGCCCAAAAACTAACATGAACTGATTTAGTATGAAATTACAGTACATTCAATACAGAGGACTACAATTACAACAACAACTTTTTACAATTGCAAGGTAAAGATAACATTTTTAACAAAGGTTTTTATTGCCGATTTGTTTGAATACTGCTTTCCACGGCCACCTGCAGGGTTAGACTATTTGCCAAATTCTAAAAATAATGTAAACTGCCAAACTACAATGTGTGGTTAATAGCAGACCACACACTTCTTCACTATCTTCATGCAGGTGCCTTCTCAGTCATCCAAAGAGGAAACTCAGACTTCAGCTTCCTTAGAGCTGCCTATTGCTGGTATATTTCTGACAGATCCGTGGGGGCGTGCTAAAAGGATCTGTCTAGCCGCATTAGTGTTGGTGGTTGCAGAGGGAAAACCTGCCAGAGCACCCCGTGTGACACCTGGGTGCGTTTTTATGCTCAGATTGGCGTTCAAAGGTGGCATATTCTTGGCACCTGACTCCTCGCGCTATCCACGTGCGCTCTTGAGAAACGCATCTTACATCACCATTGCATCACTTCACGCGCCTCTTTCGTGAGCGGGAAACTGGAGCGGCAGCTGGGCCTGATGAAAGGTGTCAAAGAGAGAAAGGACGAGCCAGAGCCAGAGGGGAGTGATGAGAAACATTTACTTAAAGATACACTATGGGGCTTTTCTGGTGGGAGTCCGCTAGCAGTAACTGTCTGTAATGTTCAGCAGTATGGCATTAAACGCATCTAACTTGCATTTATTCAGTTACACACCTTTTATAGCTACTATTTTTTATACTGCTCCACAGATCTGCCTGTAATTTTGCTTGGCTGGTCACATGCTTGAGTTATTCTGTATCAATGTCATATTTTGGAACACTGTGTAGGGTGACCAGACCAAATAAGAAGGTTTGGGTTGGTTGGTAATAATAAAACTGTGAAACAAGTGCATAATTAAGGAAAATTGTTATGCACTCGGCACTAATATGAGTCAGTATAGTTACATTTTATTTGTGTTTTGGTCATTTTTAAGCAGCTTTTCTGCATTTTACCTAAACAAATGACAGTTTCTCTTTACTGTTGGAAGGTATCAGATTGGTCAAAAATAGGGACATTTGGGACATTTCTTGTATACAACTGGGACAAATCACTGGTTTTGGATAAATCTGTTGGGACTGAGAACACATGGATCAAAACTGGTCATCCTAACATTGTGACAAGTTAATAACTCATGGAGACAAGCTGGTAGAAAAGTCACTTGGTGCACCTTTAAGAAACTATTTTTACACAATACATTTAAAATTTTACTATGAGAATTACTATTATTAAGTATATTCTTTTTAACTATAATATTTGTCGCTTTTACCCAATATGGCTCAGTGTAAGATGCGCTTATAAATTGCTAGAAGGGCATCTGATGTAAAGAAAAAAAAAATCTACAAAATGTGGAGCTGCTGCATGAAAATAAGAAACCACATTTATTTTACAGCAATTTAATTTCTGCATGATAATATCTTTTTTGGAATATTATTCTTAGTGACACTTGGGGAACTGGAGGGTGGACGGTTGAACTCCACTGGACCTGCAGACACTTTATTAAAGATTTAGAGGCTTGGTGTGCCATTGTGCCCTTGACCTTCACAGCAGCAACAGAGAAACAGAATCAGTGTGGGTGAGGAGATAGGAAGCTGAAAAACATCTTCCTCTGGCACAGAGTTGGCTTTTGGTCAAGAAAGAGTCTGCAATATCATTTGGAGTAAATTATCGCACTGTGCTTGTGACATAAGGCTGTGTAAGTCATAAACTTTGACAACTCCTTCAGAGGCACTCGTCATCAAAGAACTGCATCAATAGACTGATCAAGGAAAACATTATGACCATTGAAATGTAAGAAAGGGCCACCAGTTGCTCCTCTTGCTTTGTCTGGAATGTTGTACTGTAAGGCACTGTAACATATCTATCAATTACTCACTGAATTACAGATATTTGTCTTTCTTAAAAATATGTTGAAAGTTGTTGTTTTTTTACTGTGAGTGGGGTCGCTCCACAAATCTGACCTTGTGAGCTTCATATGTCTCATGGAGATAGATAAGTTCAAAGCCATACTACTGAGAGGTGATCCCACTCATAGTAAGAATAAAGGTTATTTTTGAATAATACAAACACCTTTAAATTGATAAAGCCCCCTGGTTTAGCCTTGGAAATAGACTTTAATAAATTATTTCATAATAAAAACACATACTCATAACAAAATACACTTGAGTGACCCATTTATACACAGAGTAATCTTTACCTTCCACCCCTGGGACCTCAGACAGGGACTGGTGACTCCTGTAGCCCTGCTGTAGACCTACAGAGTCCAGGGTATGGTCAGCTCTGCTCCACTGCTCACGCAGCTCTCAGAGGAAGTGACCTCAATCCATCCAATAACCTGGTTCACACAAGCGTGACTGCCTCACAAAATTGAACACAAAATCAACTGTCTTATTGTAGCCTTAAATGAATGTTGTTTTAACAGCAAAGAGGAAGTCAGTGTTGAAAGTGTTTGCATGTTTGAGGAATCCTGTATTGTCCTGCAAATTTCTGTTTTCACCTACAGAACCTATAAAAACAGTTGACATAACAGCCTATATCAGCGGTGGGCAATTAGAAAACAGAAACAGAAAATATTGTGGAGCATAATATTAATTGTATTTCTTTATAAAAAGCAGTAAATAGCATTGTTCTGACAATCTGGTAACACTGGTGAGAGTTTAAGCAATGAAAAAGTGAGGTTGCCTTAAAAAAATTTATTTAAAAAAAGCTTTAGTCCACGCATGAGGTAAAAGTATAAAATATGTTTATTTTGTAATTCCAAATGAGCTTAATCGGGCCAGAGTCAACCAAAGGGCCGTATGTTGCCCAGGAGCTGGACAATGCCCAGATCTGGCCTATATCATTATAAATTCTGTCATCTGAACTTGATTGTTTTTCCACTGAAAGTCTGTGGTTCAGATGTCCGTTTATTTTCTTTTTCACTGAGATGCTCTCATGCAGAACGTGGTGGGATATGGTTCGTTTGCTTTCCAAATCTCACCAGAAAGTTTCAACAGAAAGAGTCACAGCTCCCTCTCCAGGCCATAGTGAAGCAAAGCATGTCACTGCTATTGGTAATTATATTATAGTTATGAACCTATTTTTAATGTAAACCATTTAGGTTAAATATACTTTGATTGAATTTCTACTAAAATTAAACAAAAATAGGTGTGCATATGTGTGTACTTTTGATAAGCAGCACCACATCAAGCATATTGATGGCACAAGATCAGTGACTATTGTGACTTCCTTGATTTTTTTAACAGCCATATATGTTACTACAAGTTAATATGACATATTTGTATTGAATGTATAGTATAAATGTAAATACTTGAGACATACCTTTGCCGTATTTTGTTTATTGACATGTTTAACATCAGATTGCATCATCATTATGTGTAGCCAACACATCTAGTATTACAGTTCAATTCATGATGTTGAAAAAAATGGCTTTGAAGACATAAAAATACAATATAAATATAAAAAGGTGTATTCTTGTAATAATTAAACCGAGTGCGTGTTTTTATTTGTGATGGCCTGGGCACATTTTTCAAGTTCCAGCATCACTTCACTGGCTTCTGGTCGATCCCGTGGCTCAGATGACAGCATGGACTTTATTATAAGGCCCTGTTTAGAGGAAAAAAAAAACACTTAAATGTTCAAATGACTAACCATACTACTTTCAACCTGCCTTGGCCTACTTAGTTTTTGTAAATAATAAATGATTATCCAAAACATCAAATTAATGGGAAGAAAATCTTAATCTGTTAATGAACCCTGTTTCCAAAAACTGAATTTAAATTTGCATCGTTACCTCTTGTAGAAAATAGCGCGTAAAGCCTTCTGGAAGTTTCTGGACCCTGAGTTCATCCCAAATCTGAATATAGCACAAAACATTACACAATACGATCTGTCTGCAAATAGTATAACAATACATTTAAGGATTATTCACAGACCGTTTGGCGTTCTTGTACTGTTACAGTCTTCCAAAGGAGTTCAAAATATATGAGTCCCAAAGCAAAAATATCCACTTTCCGATCATAGTTTGTACATGTCTTCTGTTATTTATGATAAAAGACAGTTATATGATTGAAAAATGACTTCAAAACAAGGTTTATTAACAGCTGATAGATTCTTACCTGTTCAGGTGCCATATACGACCGTGTCCCTTTGTAATATGTTCTTTCTGTTACATTTTCTTCACCATTGCTCTCTGTAGTGACCAGGCCGAAGTCTCCAATCTTCACTTTGCCGTCACCCCCAAACAAGACATTTACAGGCTATAATAATAAGATAGAGCATAACAATAATGAAAAAAGCCAAATGCATAAATAGCTGAAGTTTAAGCATATACTCTTAAGAAATAGCTCTAGTTTAGTTCAGTTTCAGTCCTGTTTCATGGCATATCACTGGTCTTGATATTATATTTATAATAGTATATAATTCATATTTATCAGTGCCTTTCGTGACACTCAAATGACATTTGACAAAGGATTAAAAGACAAAAAGCAGCTAAATGTTTCAGTGAAGACTCAAAGATATTTGTGAACACTCAGGTTGCTTTAGTAACAATACTTCGGCTAAACCAAATTTTTTCTATCGTTTGATCAAACTGGCTCTTGGAATATAAATGTTTTACAGAAAAATACTTGCTTGTGTATTGCTCTTGAAAAAATATTTAAACTATGAGAAAATAGATCAAGGCGGAGTGAACTCAGATATAAAAAAAACAATTTGGATGATCATAGGCAGCACTACGGCAAACAGAACACTTAATAAACATGTTTAGAAGAGTTATACACTTGTCTCACCTTCAGATCTCTGTGGATTAGTGCATGTGAGTGGATATGCTCCACTCCAGTGACCAGCTGCTGAGCGATCTTCAGACTCTCCTCTCGTCTCCGGGGGTCACGGCGGGATTTCTTTTCATTTTGAGAGTTTTTCTCCTCAATCCAGGCTTTAAGTGTTCTAGTGTCACATAACTCCATCACAATGTATACATACTTTTCAACTATTTCAGATGTTCTGAAAAATACAGAAAATACTGATTAATGATTAATGATTAATGCGCAATACAAAAGGTGTTATTATTAGGCCCGATAATAATCATCATCACCATAATAATAATCATAATCATTATAATAATAGGAGGCTATAAAGCTTTAAAAAGGGGGTATTACACTTAAATGTGATATTCACTGTTAACACGTATTTAGATCACCATGTTACCTTTTATTGTTTTGAAAAATCTGTATTCCTGAAAACAACATATTCAAATGTTTAACAGATTTTTGTTTTTGATGCTGAGTCCCCCTCTCCCCTTGCTCTCCATGTTAAATCACTCCCCCTTCAGAGTGCTGTCACATTACAATCAATGCTAATGAAACTACTTCACATTACATCAGGTCTGTCAAGTTGTCGTGTATTGTTTTATATCATGCTTTAGTGTATTTATGGAACATTGTTGTGCAAAAGCATGGGTGTAATAGGTGTGTTAGTCCTGGACACATCTAGAGTCTGTTTGTTCATGGGAGTGGATCTCTCCTTCAGCCTGGTTCTCTTCAAGATTTCTTGAGGAGAACCAGGTTCCCAATAGTTTTTTGTTCTTTGCTGAAGAGGAGGGCCTAAGGACAGTTATCCATTTGGTGAATGTTAATCTGTTGTCTATTATTAATCAATAAAGGTCAAATTGACCATTTCTAACTTACTGTTCTTTTTTGTTTGTTTTGCTTTTTAGATCTGAGGGGCGACTACTGTTGTGATTTTGGGCTTTAAAAAAAGATATAGAATTTAATCTATTGTGTCCAATTTTGTGTCACATGTAACATATGTGCAAAATACTAAATAAATATATTGAGACATTTATCAGATTAAATTATATATAAATAAATATCAGGCTATCCCTAAATTTCAATAAAAAGGTTCCCTAAATTTCAATAAAAAGTTCTAGGAACTTTTCCCCAACAACCATAGTCATCAAAATACTAATTCTAAAGCTAATGGTTCTCGAACATTTCACACAAAGTACCACATAAGATAGTAATAATTTAACTTCCTGAGTACCACCAGATAAACCTGCAGTATCAAACTGAAATTAGGGCTAAACATAATCTAAAATGAGACTAAAAAGGGTCATGAATAAATCATGAATAAGATATTTCTAAAAACTGTTGAAATGTTAAAAAAAAAAAAATAAAAAAAAATAAAGCAAATAGTCAAACTCCACAGGGCCCTGCGTACCAATGGTGATTTTGAGATACACCGTTCTAAAGCACAGACTTACTGAGATGAGCTGTAGCTGTCAGAAGAATCAGGGGAGTCGCACTGGTACGCTGTATTCTCCATCCAGCAGTTGTAATATCTCACAATATTAACATGGCTTAGGGCTGCTAAAGCCTTCACCTCACGTAGAGCTTTCCTGAAATGTGTACAAACAAGTCACAATGGCAAACTGCATCATATACAACTGTTACTACGTACAATCATTATTTCTTAATTAATTCTGGATCAAGCCAACACACATTAAACTTACTCTTTATAGCGAATTATCTTTATGGCATAAAATCTGTCAGCCAGTTTGTGTCTTGCCTTGAAGACGCTTCCAAAGCCTCCTTTGCCAAGAATATCAATTGAGTCATAATTTGACAAAAATCTGAGGAAAAACAAACAATCTGTCAGACTATAAATTTGAAAACACACTTTACTTTAAAATATAATTTTGTTACCTTGTTGCTGATTGGATATTCCTCTGAAATATGATATATTGACAGTGTGAACAATTAGTGAAATTCATGTTTATTTACAGCCTTTCGACTTTAGTAATGTGCATTAACAATATTTTGCTCAAATATTTAAAGAAACAGATAAACAGGGTGTACCTCTGAAAAGCCCTCATCTTCAAAGGCGATGCTCATGCTAGATGCACTTTTACACAAAAACAAACAAATACAAGTAAATAAATTAAATAAAGCACAGAAAGTGTTAATATTGCGGACATGATGTGTGCATTGTTGAGCCACACTATATATTACAAATGTATTTTTTATCAATACTCACGCAGTACTGACAGAATCATCTTCGTTTAGCTCAACTGGCATGCTATCAGTTGTCTTAAAGAAAATGTTAAATTTTACAAACAAATCTACATACAAATGTATTTATAGTATATTCTCAACAAAACTAATAACAAATACCTCCTGTGTTTCACTGTCATCTGTTCTGTTTTGCACGTCATGATAAACAAGCTGGGCTGCCTCTTCTTTGGCAGCTGGGTCCTCCTTAACTATCACTACAAGTGGAGAACACCTGGGATAACAAAAACATGATCAATACCAGTAGAGGTCACCAAATATATAAAATGTAGCCTCGTACTGAGCTGGTTCTGCTTTAGTTGACTCTGCAGTTTCAACTGGGACCTTAAAGAGTAAAATAACAGATCATCAAATCATATAAGTGATAAAATAAGTATTAAGACGCAACTGAGTAATATTTACCAATCCATGCACTGGATCACTGAGGTTTCCTTCCAGGGCATTTTTAGCCGCCATTTGTGTGGCTTCATTCTTGTTCTTCCCCACACCATTGGCATAGGCTTTGCCATCCAGCACCGCCCTTACAGTAAACCTACAGGTAAAACAAAGGTAAAGACCATGCTACAATGCCACAACACTTAATTATTTTTTAATGCCTACACCCATTTTTGAGGTTTGTCAGTTTCCTAGATAAGCATATAAGATACCACTGCAATCTGTTTATCAGTGTTGGGCCGACCTAAATTAATTAAATGACCATTAGGCTGGCGGCTAACCGTGGTGAAGTTAGTTTCACGTTAGACGTTCGATATTCAGTTACGCATCAACAATGGAGATGTTCATTGCCTGTGCCCCGCTTGCTCGATCACAGTGCGGGGAGCTGTACACCAAAGCTCCGCTGAGTCCGCGAGGACTGTGAGGAGTAGGACTACTATAATAACTTGGTTTGGAGTTGGTAGGTCATCTGCCTTAGAAGCTATTGAAAAAAAATCACAGCTTTTCAAGATAAAAAATTCCTAAAAATTCCACAAAGGGTTAATTTGGAAAACCAAAAGGTGTGCGTGATACCTGAGGAGTAGGACTACTATAATAACTTGGTTTGGAGTTGGTAGGTCATCTACCTTAGAAGCTATTGAAAAAAAAATCACAGATTTTCAAGATTAAAAATTCCTAAAAAATCCATAAAGAGTTAAATTGGAAAACTAAATGGTGTGCGTGATACCTGAGGAGTAGGACTACTATAATAACTTGGTTTGGAGTTGGTAGGTCATCTGCCTTAGAAGCTATTGAAAAAAAATCACAGATTTTCAAGATTAAAAATTCCTAAAAATTCCATAAAGGGTTAAATTGGAAAACTAAATGGCGTGCGTGATACCTGAGGAGTAGGACTACTATAATAACTTGGTTTGGCGTTTTTAGATTAATTGACCTGGAAGATATTGAAAAAATGCATTAACTAATTAACCCTCAAAATACATAAAAATAACAAATATTTTATAAAACGTACATGCACAATCCCTTTTTTGTTTCTTTTTAATTGATTCCCTTTTTCTTTTTTCTTATTTAATTTATTTTATTATTATTATTTTTATTATTATTTTTTAGCAGACTCCATTCAATGCAATGGTAATTTATTGACGGTCCCTAACCCGCGGACTCAGCGGAGCTTTGGCGTACAGCTCCCGCACCGTGATCGAGCAAGCGGGGCACAGGCAATGAACATCTCCGTTGTTGATGCGTAACTGAATATCGAACGTCTAACGTGAAACTAACTTCACCACGGTTAGCGGCTAGCCTATATCCAAACATATGTAAGTCTGTTTGTTACACAATACAAAACAACAGTAAATTCAAAGTGCTGTGCATTGATTGACTCATAATATTTTGCATCTGATACTCACGTTTGGATGTGACTGGACCCTTCAGAACTAACATCTTCAAACTTCAGCTCAAGCCCTTTTTTTTGCACCAATTCTTTCAATTCTTCGATGTGATTTGTTGCATTCATTATTAGCTAGCCTGCTACAGTCTATTGGCATAAAAATCATTAAATCACACTTAGGTTACATATCAATAAATACATTTAAAAATCTTCCTCCAGCCGTCATTCAGTTTCCTTCTTTTTTTCCTTTCTTATTTTCGGTCTTAAGTTTCGGTAACTACACGTCATATCCGCAGACTGTATGATGCGCACTAGTGAATATATTTCAATAGTTCAATTTTAGGATTAAATTCAAGCAATTAATGCATGCAGTTGTTGGCCATACCCTATGGACATGCACCCATAATAATGTAGAATTAGTCTGGGTTCTTGTTTCATGTAGTTGCTAATGGATAAACTAATAATTAATTAAAATGACAAAGTACGTAACAGTAGCCTAAAAGAAAACTCAACAACGCCACCTGTTGGTTCAAGACCATTTAATATTAAATAAATGTCAAGGTTCGCTGTTGATGAACATGGAACAGTGGCAAAGATAGTAAAAGCGTACAGATCATTTATATATTTTTCATAAATTATATTTACGCTACAATATAATAAATTGGGACACTAACTTATTACAATTTAGGATGACACTTTTGAGGTGTCCAGGCTTGATATGGTTATTTTTACTCAATAATATCATAAGCCGAGATAGATGTTATGTGCTGGATCAGTTTTGGATCATCTAAGAAATCATATATAGTTTGCAAATTCCAGTTTTTAGTTAAGAGACATTAATCACTGTGTATTAGTCAGTCAGATTAATCCATAATTTATTTAATTATCCATAGTTGTATTCACAAATTGTCTTGCTATGTTTTGCTATTTCTTTCTATGTTTATTATTATTATTATTATTATTATTATTAATTATTAATTATTTATTTATTTATTTTATTTTTTGCTCTTTTATTTATTGTGATGTGTGATCTACCTCCGCTGATCCAAGACTTGTCTAACTCAGATTTCAGTGCGCTGATTTCTGGTCTGTCTTCAGGCTTTTTACATACAACACAACAACATAGTCAGCACATCAAAACATAGTCTTAATAATGCAACTGTTGAAATAAAAGGCATAAAAAACTAAGTATGGATTGCAGACATGATAAGAAGAAGACGGAGCTGTAGAAGTGGAAGCCAATGTAGGGTCAGTAGTCTTTATAGAGGTGTAAAGTAAAGTAGTAAAGTGCCACTAGTTTTCATGATGGATTGATAGAACAACAGTGGCATAAGTAAAGTAGGCCTACATTTTAACTTTTGGTAGTGATTACAGCATTATCACTCTCACATAAATATGAACTCTGTACCTCTACTGGATAAATCCTGGTAAACCCTTAGCAAATCCTGAGTCTCTGCAGAGAGGTTAGAAACAAATCATGTAATAAGAAAACTTAAAAGTTCTATATTATGCGAAATTGACTCTTGTGAGTTTTAAGACATGTTAGAATGTTGTTACTTCATCAAAACATACCTAGAGTTGAGTTTTGTTTCATTCACACATTTGAGTAACCCTGCAGTATTAACCTGTCTACAGCTTCAAACCTCAAAATGCACTGTTCCACCTTGTGATGTCATGAAGCAGTAGTTTTCAAGTTAACAGCTACATTTTACCATTTGTTCAGTTGAGATGGGCAATTCCAGTATTGACATTATCCAAATGATTCTAGCGAAGGTGAATGGAATTTAAAAACACAGACCACATGACAGCACAAGGTGGAACAGTGTTTGAGACAGTTTGAGAGAAGAACTCAGCCTAAACATAAGCAACATGTGTAAATGAAACAAAACGTAACTTCAGGTATGTTTTTGATGAGGAAACAGGATTATAAGATAGATCAGAAAATAGCGTAATATGGCCCTTTAAATCAATGATGCTTAACACTGATATATAGTAATTTACAACAATCTCTAAAAGATCAAGCCCAAAACCACAATGTCCACTTTTTTGTCATATTTTACACCAAACTGTTTAATGAAATAAAAGTAGTTTAAATGTATCATAAATATTAATCTTTCCCGCAATCTAAATAATGCTGTCTTGAAAGAGCAAACACAGGGGCCATTTCATCATTTGTGGGCTTCACTGTCTCTTGTTCTCTCCACTCATCATTATTGTCTTGAGTAACCAAATATTGTCACTAAATAGTAAATAATGAATTTGACCTCGCCTTTAAGTCTTGTGGATGAGTTTCTTGCTGTGAATATAGCATACTCTACGCCTCTTTAAATCTGTTCAGTGAGAGCTAGACTTTCCTTTTGCTGTGGGTTTTCCTTAGGCTCTCTGTTCTGCCTATTTATCCAGCGGGCATGTTTGAAACTAAAATATTGCTACTGGCCCTCTGAGTATATGAATAAGTAGAAAAAGTAAAATTAAATACGATTTGACACTCTCACAGACAGAAAGGAGCATCGAGACGAGTCACAGCTCCATCTACTGGCCCCTCTGCAACAGCTGCAAAATTGTCAAGCCTATACAGTACCATGTCATACACCTAGGTTCATTTTCAGACCAAGAGCTTGTTTTCATACCTGACAGTTTCGACTGCTCACGAGCCGTCTTCCTCAGAGTGGTCACGTGATGTTACTGTGATGTGTCCGGTCAGCTGATTTATACAGGTTTTGGCGCTGTCTTCTTACTGGTGGAGGCAGGACGACAGCGCCATCTGCAGTCCAACTTCCTCAGGACAGTATCCCAGGTGTGTGAGAGTAAAAAATCCCCCTGGTCCCAGTTTATTGTCCCGTGGGCACGTTTGCGTATTCCAGTGCCAAAACCTGTATAAATCAGCTGGCCCGACACATCACAGTAACATCATGTGACCACTCTGAGGAAGACCGCTAGTGAGCAGTCGAAACTGTCAGGTATGAAAACAAAACTCTTGGTCTGAAAAAAGAACCTAATAACATAAAATATTGGAAGACCAAATGAACCTCATTGGACTGTGTAATACACTTACTTGAACGTGCAAAGCGACTCAGAAGTCCAAAGTATGAAATGAAAGTCAGAAATGTACCAGGTTAACTTGGGATGTTTAATTAAAATGTGTAATATTGTGGTCATAATTAAAACAGTTCTGTTCGTTTGAGAATTCATCATAATTTCCACAGCACGTGATTTCAAACAAGATTAAAATCAGGAATATAATAGTGATTATTTAACATGATAAAATCCACCATTCCATTACTTTCCCATCATTTAGGTACAGGTTGTCTGACATAAGTAGTGCATTAATAGAAAACCCCTCTAAATGTTAATGCATTGGTCATCTGAATGTAATCTTATGGCTATAAAAATCAAACAGTTTTTTGGTTAATGTCCTCCTCCGATGCCCGAGTCCACTTGTCTAACTCAGATTTCAGTGCGCTGGCTTCTGGTCTGTCTTCAGGCTTCTCACTCAGCATAATCTTAATAATGCGGCTCTAGAAAAAACAGGCATACACATTTTATCACATATGTTTAGTATGAGAAGTAGGTGAAGCAGAAGGAGGTCAATATAGCAGAAGTAGTTCTTGTAGAAGTAGTGCTTTAACAAGTAGCTACATTCGCATTTGCAAGATCATTAGCTATATACAAAAATACAAAAAATATCAAACTTGTTAAATAGACAGATGTTTTGATACCAGTTGGGTTGACTGAACAGAAGTAGCATAAGTTCTTAGTAGCAGAGGCCTATATATCAACTTTGAGAGGCAAATATGAACTCTGTACCTCTATTGAATAAGTCCTGGTAAACTCTTTTGGCAAGTCCTGCTTTCTGACTTCTCTCCAGATCTGCAGAAGAGGAAGATCATATGTATTATACATACATGTAGTAGTGTCACTTCTGACCTTCGGAGGCATTGGAGGAACTGCTTATATGGACTATCGACTATTTAAATGTTTTATATGGACTCATTGGAGTCTGAGCTAAAGCTTGATTGACTGATTCATTAATAAATTTAGAAGTACAGTACTATAGTGTACAAAAAATACATACCGCCACTCTTTCATGACCAGTAGATATTCTCCAGAAGAGCTCAAACAAGATCAAGCCCAAAGCCCAAATGTCCACTTTTCGGTCATAATTGGCACCAAACTGTTTAATGAAATAAAAGTGGCTTAAATGTATAATAAACATTAATCATTTATTTTACTCTGTAAATAATGCAATCTTTAAATAGCAAATAAATAGCAAACAAAATATGAGCCATTCCCTCACTTGTTCAGGAGCCATGTAGTTGCGGGTTCCTTGCTCCTCTGTTCTCTCCACTATTTCACCGTCATTATTGTCTTGAGTGACCAAACCAAAATCCCCAATCCTTACTTTTCCATCATGTCCGAAAAAGATGTTTTCAGGCTAAAGCATAACTACAGTAAATACCTCATTACAAAAAATGTCATCATTAAACAGTAAATAATGAATTTTACTTTTAAGTCTCGGTGGATGAGTTTCTTGCTGTGAATATACTCTACACCACTTAAAATCTGCCCAGCAATATCAAGACTCTCCTTTTGCCTTGAGTTTTCCTCAGCTGCTTTGTTCTTCCTATATATCCAGCGCCGGAGTGTTCCTCCATCGCACAACTCCATTTCAACAAAGAGGAATTTTAAATTTGGCCTAACCACTTGGCTTAAAGGGAAGAAATGTACCTGTAAGTATTCTGTTTAAATAAAACTATCTTCTGACAAACATTCACCAGTATCATATACTTACCACCCGTATCCAGTGTCCTCAAACCAACATGTGTAATATCGCACAATATTTTCGTGGAGCAGCTCGGACAGTACCTTCACCTCCTGAAGAGACTTCCTGAAACAATGCACGAGGCTTGGTAACTCTAGAGGATGTTTATACACAATAGTATTCTGTAAGTTTTTATTTTGATTGAACAGACTTACTGTATGTCTCTAGACTGTATTTCTTTTATAGCACGGTATTTCTCCAGCACTAGGTTTTTTGCTTTGTAAACACAACCATAAGACCCACTTCCAAGACGTTCAATACAACCGTATTCTGAAGTAAACCTGTTAAGATCAAAGGATAATCTATTAATTTAGTAGTAGTAGTGGTAGTAGTAGTAGTAGTAGTAGTAGTAGTAGTATTTTTTTTGGTTAATTAAAAGAACATACCTTGAGGTTCTGGTAGTAAGACCATTCTTATTTTTCTTTTCCAGGCCAGTTTTCTTGGGCAGAAAGTTAAGTGTAG